CCCCCCCCCTGAGCTTTTGTGGTCATAAAAGTATGGACTTCCCAGTAACGAGCGACCACCCTAACAAACACAATAAAGAAGAGACCTAGCCCTACCCCAAAAGAGAACCTGCAAGGGCCCTCCTCACCTGTAAAAAGCCAGCACAAGTTCAAAATGAAAAAAACAAACAAAACAAAAACACACACACAGTCAAAAACAAACAAGGAGTATGGCCTACATTGCTATAAAATAAGGTTTGTTTGTTTGTTTAGTACATGGTTTTACGGCGCTCGCAACTGCATATGGTCATATGAGCACGAGAAACACAAGTTGGTAGCATTCGCAACAGTTCACTGCATACTGCATGGTTGTTCGACAATTAGACTTTAAAATGTTAAAATTCAGTGTAAATATATTTTCGATTTAAAACAACTCTTATAAATAACAATAAAATTTTTTAAACAATGTAGTTTCACTTGACAATTGGCCTTCATAAAATTCAAACTTCTGCTGGGACCAACGATGGAAAAAATGTCTTGCAATTTCTTGCATTTATAATTATATTTCCTTCGGATCTCTCCAAAGTCTAGACATTCGGTTAAGATGTGTCTAACGGTAAAATCTTTGTCGCATCCGACACAGAACGGCTTCTCATCTCCCTGTAGGTGGTATTTGTGTCCGATGCGCAATCGAGTAAAAATGACTTCGTCTCTTCTGGAGAGGTCCGAAGGATATCGCTGTTTCAGTTTGGGTTTTATAACATACAGTTTATTGTTTTTCTGTTTTTCCCAGTGGCTCTCCCACCGACTGGAGGTGTACTTTATTTCTAAAGTCAGTCTGTGGGAGAGTGTTTGTCGTTGATCCCAGCAGAAGGGATGAAGCTTTCTTCGCCAGGTCGTCTACCTGCTCATTTCCTTGGATGCCCACATGGCTAGGTATCCATGCAAACATGATGTCTTTTTCCTGTCTCGGATAGTGTGTGAATTTTCTATTGTAGCCTAACTATTTTTGGGTGTAAGAGTGTGTAGTTTGTGAGTGAGGTGATGCAAGACAGAGAGTCAGAAAGGATTAGGAAAGATTTGTTTGGAGAATTTTCTACAGAGTCCAGTGCCATGTCCATGGCAGTGGCCTCTGCAGAGAAAATAGAGGCTTCAGGATGGAGTCCCCTCTGGTGTGTACTGTTGGAAGATAGGGCTGCGGCGCCCACTTCATTGTCTTTTTTGGAGCCATCCGTGAAGATGAGCTCCGCACCAGGGTATTTATCTATTAGTTTTTTTGTATTCTGCTTAAAAAGTTTTGGTGTTTGTGCTTTCTTTGTTGTGTGTGGTCAGCTGTAAGTCTACTTTTGCCTCGGTGAGGTGCCACGGAGGGAGGTTGGGGAAAAGAAATTGTTGGATGTCTTGTTTGGAAAAGTGTACGTTTTTGAGGTCCTCGAGGATTCTGAGGCTGAAGGGTTTGATGAGTTTTTCGTTGTTTTGGAATCTGTTTATGGT